AAAAACGAGAATGTTTCGAGCAAGTTTGGGTATCGGATTAGGGTTGGTAGTAGTTGTGGAAGGTTGAGATTAAAAAATCGCTATAATTTATACTTGTACACGTAAGGGCAGAGTTCTTTAGATACTTACATAGGTTAAGTTGAATATATTTGTTGGCTATTGAAATGGATATATACCGCTGTCTTTTATTGTTGTGGATAAATTTTGGCAACTTTTTGGCAGGAAGTGTTTTATGTCTGACCTATCCTGTATGCGTGTAGTGCCACACTAAGAATGTAGAAGTTACTGCTATCATTCTTACTTTGTCTGATACCTTAGTTGGATACGTCTGTATTATTCCTGCACATGAGGGATAAGCCACATTTTCAAAGTAACATATACATCGTGACTTTAACCACTGCCCTATCTAAACCTATCTAAACATGAAGGAATTGGAAGTTAGCTACAAATCGTGAATAATCACATCAGAGTTTGAGCAGTTTTTGATATACTTGTTAATCAGAATCGCTAAATTATTGAATTATTGGAATCTGTCAAATACAATCCTGCCTTCCCACGGTTTATAGAAGACGCCCTTACTCGTGTGCACGATATTGCGGTCTTGTGCTAGAGGTCAAGAATCAGTGGAATACTGAATTAGTCTGTTCGAATAGCTATTAGAGACCTAGCGTAGGAATCCAGAAACTAGGAAACGACGGCTACTTTGTTCAGGTCTGCGTTAGATATAGTAAAGCAAGTTAACTTTGACCCTTCTTGTAATAAACCACTATGTTTCTAATATTTGTTAGTATCGAACGAAAGCGGAATTTTAATCTCTGCGCATCGCTCAACAAAGCTTTTGCTGGTTTTATGAGTGCCGCTTTGTCAACCGAACTAGAAAGTAAAACGAGTAGCGAGCGCTTACTCTCTAATAGAATTGCTTTTCATACTAAACGCACAAAAAAACAAGCTCCTTCTTAGTAGTGCGCTTGTCAACATTTTTCACATTATTACGAGGGCCGGTTATTTTAAATTGGTTTTAATCGTATTTGTCATAATATTATAATAATAGTAACAAACATAATTCTGGGTACTTCTTCCTGATAATACCTAGGCATTGGAAACATGGATCGATCGCTCCTTCGAAAAAAAGATTTGGGATGCCCAAAACTAACTACAGAAAATTCTTATGGGTTTGGCTACGCAATGAAAATGAAACTTTAAATTTAGTAATAAAATACCTACCAGAAAAATATCTTCCTTATTTTCTTTTGTAAAATATTTATGACCAAATTTCAATAATGTATATGTGATTTCCGAGATTCTTTCAAATTACTTTAAAAACAAAACAAATAATCCCCGAGATTCTTTCAAACTACTTCAAAAACAAAACACAAGGGTACCTCGGATTTTTGCTTCAAAAACAATACAATTACTTCAAAGACCAGACATTACGGATCACGAGACTTCGAAATTCTTCCAAAATACTTCAAAATCAAAACACAAGAGATTCCCGAGATTCTTTCAACCTACTTCAAAAATAAAACGCAATGGTCACCCATATTCTAATAAAGTACTGCAAAAATAAATATACAAAAAGATCTCCAACATTCTTTCAAATTACTTCAAGCCAAGACATCACGAATCACGGAAATTCGAGATTCTTCCAAAATACTTCAAAAACAAAACACAAAAGATTCCGAGATTCTTTCAAACTACTTCAAAAACAAAAAACAAGGGATCCCCGAGATTGTTTCAAGTACTTCAAAAGCACAACAAGGGATCCTCGACATTATTTTCCACTTGCTTTAAAAACAGGACAAAGAATTCTCAAGATTCTTTCAGACTGCCTCAAAATCAAAACACAAGGGTTCCCGAGATTCTTTCAAATACTTCAAAAGCAAAACACAAGGGATCCCAACATTCTTTCAGATTACTTCAAACACAAAACAGAAGGGTCCCCGAGGTTTGTTCAAATTGCTTCAAAAACAAAACACAAGGAATCCTTGAGATTCTTTCAAACTACTTCAAAATCAAAACGTAAGAGATTCCGAGATTCTTTCAAACTACTTCAAGAACAAAACACAAGGGGTCCCCGAGATTGTTTCAAATATTTCAAACGCAAAACACAAGGAATTTTCGAGATTCTTTTCTAATTGCTTTAAAAACAAGACAAACAATCCCCAAGATTCTTTCAAACTACTTCTAAATCAAAACACAACGGTTCTCGAGATTCTTTCAAATTCTGCAAAAGCAAAACACAAAGAATCCCGAGATTCTTTCAAATTACTTCAAACACAAAACACAATGGTCCCCGAAATTCTTTTAAATTACTTCAAAAAGAAGACAAGGGATCCCGAGATTCTTTCAAACTACTTCAAAAATAAAACACATCTAGCTCTTGAGATTCTAATAAAATACTGAAAAAATAATATACAGAAATATCTTCAAGATTCTTTCAAATTACCTACTGCAAAAGCAAGAGATCACAGATCACGGAAATTCGAGATTCTTCCAAAATACTTCAAAAACAAAACATAAGGAATCCTTGAGATTCTTTCAAACTACTTCAAAATCTAAACACAAGAGATTCCGAGATTATTTCAAACTACTTCAAAAACAAAAGAGAAAGGGTCCCCGAGATTGTTTCAAATACTTCAAAAGCAAAACACAAGGGATTCTCGAGATTCCTTTCTAATTGCTTTAAAAACGACAAAAAATCCCTAAGATTCTTTCAAGCAACTTCAAAGTCAAAAAACACAAGGGTTCCAAAGATTCTTTCAAATACTTCAAAAGCAAAACGAAAGGCATCCCGAGATTCTTTCAGATTAATTCAAACACAAAACATAAGGGTCTCCAAGATTCTTTCAAACTACTTAAAAAAATTAAACTAAGATTCTAATAAAATACTACAAAAATAATGTACAGAAAGATCTTCGAGATTATTTCAAATTACTTCAAAAACAAGGCAAGGTGTCCCCGAGATTCTTTCAAACTACTTCAAAAACAAAACATGAGGAGTCCCGAAGGTTTTTTCAAATTACTTAAAAGCAATACACAAGGGGTCCTCAAAGATTCTTTCAGATTACTTCAAAAACAATACAAGGTATCCCCGAGAATCTTTCAAACTACTTCAAGAAAAAAACAGAAGGGGTCTCAAATTACTTCAAAGACAAATACTGTCACTGAGATTCTAATAAATTGCTAGGAAAAATTAGTTAGAAAGATCCCAAGATTCATTCAAATTACTTCATAAAGAAGACATCACGGACAGGGAAGTGTGGGACCATCTGAAAATCAAAAATTTTCCAGAGGCACCAGGTGAACCAAAGCGCGGGTATCCAAATCCAAATTTTATATACATTTAAATGAAGTAAAATATCGGCCTTTTAGACGCTTGTCTAAATTTTTCTCGCGCTGTTTCAACAAGTCCCATCTGGCTCTGAACAAGTTTATACTATAAGGGACCGCTATAAAATTGTTGTCTCTATTTTGTCTACTACAAAACTTATTAAATTTAACTTTTAATCTTTTAATCAGTGTTTGAATTAACACGGAAACTATTTAATGGAAAATATCTGCTTATAAATAAAAAGAATTATTTAGGAAGCCATATGAAGTATGTAGATCATATTGGCTTTGAAATTTTGAAAATTTTTCTTGCTGCCGGATATGTAGGCAACCAATAATTCAGGTCGCATGATAGATCCCTACCTACTTCATGAAAGTAACAAATTATATTAAAAATGCAGTGATTTAATTTCCAAAGGCAACATAATGTACTACATTTTATAACCAGCCGGTATAGAACATTAAATGGTGAAAAAAGCATCACTTATTTTATGCTCAAAACTGCAACTAAATAATATCGATAACATTATAGACATCGACATCTTCATTAAAAAACTGACTGTCTCTTTCTAAAATATAACCCCAATTTCTCGGTCTTTTGTGTACACCGTACCGTACAAGCCAGAAACCGCAGAGAAAAGAATGCCAAAGTTTATTTGAAAACAGAATTGAATTAATTCGCATTTTAGGCTAACGTTAGCATATTTTATTAAATTTTTATGATTAATTGCACGGAAGACCAATTTGAAAAGAAAAAATTTAATCAACCTTCAAGTGATGAGATATGTTTAGGCAAAAAAATATTAGCGGAATTAATGTCTTTCATTGTGTCATGTACTTTTCATGGCTTTTTTCTTAAATAAATTACTTCATTAAAAAGAAACTCATAATAAATTCCCGCCTAATAAGTTTTTCAGTTGGAATGATTAAAAGGTTTCCTGAATAATAACAAAGTCATAATTTAAAGGACTTTTCATTTTTGTTTCATTACGATGGAGAAATTTTCAAAAGAGGTTAAGTTTAAACTTCCCCTTTAAAACTCAAGCGACAGTACATATATTTCCCACAAAAGTACAAACACGCGAATGCCAAACAATAGTACTAGTGTAAGGACACATTCGAACACGGCATTTTCACCTTTAGTACTATCCAATTTATAACATAGTGCTAAAAATTCTGAAGTGACTACCATAATTTATGTTCTGCTTAAAAAACTCGTCAGATGAGTAGCTGAAAATTACAAGCCTGAAAGAACCTCTATAGAGAGCCCCTCAAATTAAAACTCCTATTTGTCAGGTTGTCGGCTCCAGTCTCTGTCAAATTCCTCTGTCAATTTACAAGAACCTTGCCGACAGCAGCATTTGATTACCGTCAAATTTTTGACGTTCCTAGCCGGAGCTCAACTCATACCGGAATTTTCTCGTCCCGGAAATGAAAACGCGTCCTTACAAGAACAAGACAAATGGAAAAGCGTAACTGTAACTGTAAATACTATTATTATGATGGATGTCCCCCGCTGACAGGTCCATAAACTGAAAAGTAGGAGTGTTTAGGAACGTGGAAAGATACAAATGGTCGGGCGCGTCATAAATTTTGATGAAGCCTTTTTCTGGATATAATAAGGATATTTATTCATTTTTCTTTCTCTTACACACATGTGTTTGTTCCAGGATTGCCGTCGATGCGAGACAGCCTGACTAATCCCGTGCACGTATACGAAGGCGACGATGCTCTTATTACGTGCGTGGTTAGGGATATTGGGGAGAACACCATCATGTGGAAGAAGGAGGACAGGGAACGGCACAGCACGAGAGTATTGACGGCCGGAGATAAGAGGGTTACTGCTGATAAGAGATTCGCTGTCTTGCACGACTCATGTAAGAATAATATTAAGGTCTTTTTTTAGCACCTGTCGAACTAGTGCACCGAAAGAACTCAATTTTCGACACAAAAATGACGTGGAGGGTGATTTTTACTCAAGATTAACGTGGGGTTGACGCGGGCTGTTTTCGAGGCACGTGCAAATATTGGTTACCTTCTGAAACATAATTTCTAGTTTATTGAGGTTCTAACACACGACACGAAACACTAGCTTCAAGGCTGAGAGCTCTTAAGTGAGCGTCCAATACACTTTTTTAGTTATGCCTGTAAGAAATATATAGCCTTGCGAAAAAGTATGGAAGCAGTTGAATATTTCGGGAACGGTTAGTTGGATTTTCTTGAAATTTGAGCTATACTTATAAATACTCAAGATCTATGTTCTATAATTTTTTTAAATTTTCAAAATCATTTGTTTTCAAGAAGCAAGGCTAACTTGATTTTTTTTTAAGTAGCACCACTAGTGAAATCATCAATTACTTACTTAGACAAATATTTCTCAACTATGAAAACTCAAATTTACCTACAGGTTCCATCTGGTTCCAACAAGATGGAGCACCACATCACTTCGAACGTCAAGTACGGCATTACTTGAAAGAAACTTTTCCTAGAAGGTAGACACGACGAAGGGTGGGAATTGAGTGTCCAGCTAGGTGACCCGATTTAACCCTACTTGACTAAAAACTCCACGGAAGAATATTAAATGTATCGCTGATATTCCTCCTAATATTCTAATAGAGTCAATTGAAAACTTTGTGGAACGTATTTACTATTGCCAGGAAGTAAATGGAGAACATTTCGAACATTTGTTGTAAAATTATTGTTTTTTAAATATATATTATTTGATCTTTTTTCCATAAAGGAATTATTTATTTAAATTTTTCAAAATTTTTTCGTAACAAAGTATTCACTATTTACAATAATTAAACTAGTATAATTTTTGAATAAAGTGTCCTACGCCAGGACTTTGACAAGTGATAGTATTGTCAAGGCTAGCTAGGATTTTCTGATTTTCAGTATTTTTATTTTGACAATTTATTTTACCATGATGAGAAAAAATAAAATAATGCATGCTTTACATTTCTGAATCCAGAAAAAATGCAGTATGTAAAAATAGAACACTTGACCACTAGTGCTATTCAAGAAAAAAGCAAATTAGCCCTGGACCTTGAAGAAGTAATGAAGTATAAAACTTGAAAAAACTGCAGCAAATAGAACTTGAGTATTCCCAAGGACAGCCCAAATTTCAAAGACATTCAACAAACCATTCTCGCGATATTCAACTGCTTTCATACTTTTTGACGACCCTGTATATTTTCAAAAGTTTGTACGAAATATAGTAATTTTCATCCTCATGACGCAAATAGCCATTTATTAAAAATCAATATGTCCTAGAGTGTGATACTTTTCATAATGTGATCTTTCATTCCTTGAGAATACGAAAACTTATTGCACACAAACTTCACCAATCTCATTTTTAATTAAATTATTATGACGTTAGGTTTAATGGAAAAACGAATTACTAACATCCGTTTAAAAGGGTTATCTGTCGTATAGCTCATTTATTTTGAGAAGCTGAGATTCATTTTTAAATTCGTAATAAAAATTTAATGAGTTGGAAGATTAAAGATAGATCGGCACATCAAAATTTGCAGCAACTAATCAAGTAATCTTATATTAATAAAACCTCGGCTCATAAAAATTACGAAATTTATCTGCACTTTTCAGTGAAAATGAAGTTTCTAGACTTTATGAAAGTTATCCAGTTCAGCTGAATGTTTCATTTCAAGAGACTTGTGAAAATTACTTCAAGATGACTACTGATATTTAAAACAAATTATACAGCGAAAAAACAACAAAAGAAAGTTTATTTAGGCGTATTATGAAACTGACGCAGCACTTGCAGTTTCACCGGAAATAAAGACAACTTTGATTTTTTACTTTTTAGAAGAGTTATTGTGCTTAATCTGTACTGTCCACCTGTTTCACTTTAAAGTTTTAATCATTTTAAAAGTAACAGGTTCGTAATTCAAACGATTGATGAAGACACACATAAAAACATAAAGTGAAAAGACTGTTACCGTACCACCTTTGTTTTTCCCATGCCATCAAAATTTTCTTTTGAAACAGAAATAATTACTGAAATTGTAAATTGTTGCGCGTAGGGGTTGGCAATTCAAACAGATTGGGCAGTATACCAAATTTATTAGAAGAAAATGTCGCTGGTACGGGTGTTGGTTACAATTATCCCTTGTCTGCTACAACTACAACTACTTCTTCAACTACAAATACAAATACAACTAATACAACTAACTTCTTCAGGTGCGAGCCAAAAGTTATATATTGACAACTATAGTCATGTGACCGACCATAGTTCCGGAGTAATGACATGACCTCCTTAATTTTGATTGAGTCGATACTTAGCAATCGCGGAAAAGGAAATGCAACTCAGCTTGACTTCGGACTCGCTTCCTTCTAACAACGCTTGCACATGCTGCCGCAGCAACCCCAATTAAACAGGATATTTCACAACAAAATATAGACGTCTTAAATTTGAAACGATAAGTTAATATTGTTATCATGAGCGGCTGAACGGGTATTTAAAGATCGACATGGGTAAAACTCAACAATTTATTTTTTAGTAACTCAAATTTACACGTCTAATTACACAGCCATTATTTACAAAATAATTCCGGCGCAACTTGGCTGGCTTCTCTCAATATTCGCTGGACTCGATTCGACTGTATAATAATAATCGTTCCTTTATTTAAACCTATACGTTTCTATGGATGGATCGAGAACGCCGCTTCGAGGTTTTTCTGGGCTCTGCACTCGAGACTTTCGGTAATCCGCTCCAGACTTGTTTTTATGGAGCGCCGTCGGCCAGCGTCACCGATCATCGCCGTACATACTAGAAAGCTGTCGACGGCCCATAGGCGGCGTACCGGGGAGGCGTATAGGTTTATTTCGTAACAATATATAAAACGGAGTAAGATCAGCAACATCACCTTTGGTTTTTCAGACTGATACCAACTTCTTTTTTCAAGTAGAATATGCTCTTTGTCTACGTAAAACTGAATAGGTTTTTATTTTTTCGGTATTTTTTTTTTATTCAAGGATTCCTATGTTATGATTACTGCATAAATTTGAAACTATGGACCATCAGCAATCCAATCAACCAAGAATTAACTTTCACGCTATTCGGATATTCAGATCTGTGGAAACAGTCGACACATACGAATTCTATTCACAATCACCACTATTTCCAGTTCCAAACAAAAACCATAATTTTAAAGGAGAACTTCTACAATTTTAGAATACATGAACACAGAGAAGAAAAATACATATGGTAGAACGAGGCATAGGAAAGATCATGTATTTTATCACACTCCACGTAGCCTCAGAATTTCATCAACCCTGACGAGATAGAATAAACAAGCTTCACCACAGAAACTAGACGTTACAGATACATACAATGAACAACATTTTAAGAAGAATACAAATCTAAAAATGCCTCTTTTATCTTGATTACATCATAATTTTTTCAACATCAGTTGAAGACCATATAAGTTTTCGAAACATTAAGAAAAGCCAATTTCAAGATTGGACAAAACCAAATTTTTAAGAAAAGAAGTAGTCTATTTAGAACACGACGGCATCACAACCGAATCCAGAAAAAATAAAATAGTCATCAGTTATCGATTGCAAAAAACAAAAAAGAGATTAATTTCCACATTTAACAAACCTTTAACGAAATGTTTGAAGAAAAATGTTGCAATTACACATATCCAACAATTCGTAAACACCTTCAAAATCTGCAAAAAAATTTTGAAAACCCATCCACTTCTAACAATACCCAGATTTTTAGAGATTATCCATATTAACAACAGAGGCATCAAATGTCCCCCTTGGAGCAGTCTTATCTCGAGGACAGTTAGAGAAGATAAACCAATCGTACTCAATGGAACTAAACAGAAATAGTCATCCCTATACGGAAGAAAATTCACATTCTACATTCCTACGCTGGAGATGAAACCTAGGACAATACGATTACGACATCGTTTACAAAAAAGGAAAAGTCGACAAAAATACTTTTAAGTATACGGATTGACCCTTTGGGCACTGAGGAAGAACTTGAGCAATTGTTAAACGAACTAATGGAAGAGAAGGAGAACCGAATCATAGAATTATTAAGAACCCCAATTCCGAATTTAATGGACTTCTCACAACATTAGTGAGCCCAACAGATTTCTCATTACCAGTATACAGAATACAAATTCCACAAAATTTTGAACAGACAAGTCATGAGAAACATTATCAGCAAACCCAGGAACAATCCGAGCAAACACACCAACATGGATCATCACAACGAGAAAAACTAAGAACCATCGACATCTGTGAAGATGTAATCCCTTTATCAATACCGAAAATTACAAAGGATAATAGAATAGCAGTATTTAAAGTCCACACTCCTCAGGACGACAACAATCAACAAATCAAACATCTTTTAATCGATTATTACGAAGCGTAAAGACTTTTTTTTTATACTAAGTAGAAGAATGTGATGTAGTGGTTTTGCAAACTATGCAACGAAACGTTCAACATCGAAGCACCACTTCTAAAACGCTATACCAAAAGAATAATCACAATTAAGAACAAACAACGAACAAAAAGGATTAATAAGAGATCATTCCTTATATAAGTATGTAAAGATAAAACCCCTCATAGTCGCACTTTTCCAATAGGTTGCAGTGTTTAAGTGAAAATTTTCAAAATCCATATTTCCTTGCAAAAGTGTACCATTTTAACCATGTTTTAAGTTTCTTGTCGTGAAAAGATCGCTACGTACATTAAAAAGGCAGTGATGGGACTTTACGCATCGACTTTAATTGTCTACGTTACGTCGTAGAGAATAGGTAAACAACGTAAAGAATGTAAACAATGTAAACTTTCCGTAGACAATACCAACAACAAACGTAAGGTTACGTTTTTAGAGTCA